ATCTTGATTTATTTTTCTAAAATAGAATGATTATGAAAAAATATAGTAGTAAAAGCTTGTGTTGTTTTTACTCCATTTCAAAAAGATCACAAGCATAATAAAATAACTAATACTTCATGACAATGACATCACTTAATGTCAGATTGACATTAGGTGTTACTTTAGTTACAAGTGTTTTGTTCAATTGCACAAAAACAATAATAGATTTTAGTTAATGACAACCTCTAATGTTGTTGACAGTTTACATATTGAATATCTTCCAAAAGACGGTCTCTTTCACCTGAATATTATTTTTCCATTTCGGAGAGAATAAAAGAAAGAAAACGGCTTGAAATCCCGTTCCTTTTTATTCCTTCGACTACCTTAAATCCTAATCTTTCAGCACCATCTCCTACGTGTTACTGTTACAATTACTACATCGTCCACAGTGATGCTGCAGCTGCATCTTTCACAATGAATCTTCCGCTATCGCGCATTTACAAGCACAACTATTTTCCCTTCCTGATCTTCATCTCCTCCTCGTGCTCATCCCCATTACTTGTAATCTACAAATCTCCGCTACGATATTACGTCGCAGGTGTAATTGAATTAACCGTTGCCTAACGTCCCTCTGCTCGAGAACCCAAATAGAACAGATCCAACAACAATATGTAACGATTTAACGCTTCCGAAGGCCGATACACTTCTTGTTTTTATTTTGCGCGTATCGTATCGCTTTATTTTCAGGTGTCGCAAATGGACGTGATCCAATTTTCCTCCCCGAAACAAAACGAAAACAAGAAACAAAGGCGTAACAATGCAAATCATTGGAGTTGAACCTTGCGCGTTGTTATGTATGCATAGTTTATTTTTTTTCAATTTTTTTTTCTCTTTCCTTTTTGTGGCCATTTAATATATTATAATACACGCGCTGCTTTGCATAATTTCGTTATTAACTCTTTGCGGCGAGCATGTGGCGCAATTAGTGCATGAAGATCTCCTTTAGTGCCGAGGGTTACGGCAATGTAAAGCACACACATTTCACTGAAACGACTTCGTAAACGACCAACCGTTTCTATAACACTCCGACAAATGGATAGTTTTTCTCATTTTTCTTTTGAAATGGAAATAAATTATGGACGCAACGTGGATTGCTACGATTTATACTAAAGGAGCATAATCGCCCACTTGGATCTATTTTTAATTGGTACTCTGGTGTCGCAAGGCGAAGAGAAGCAACAGCACAGAAGTTGCGAACTAAATTTATAATATATATACATTCGGAAAATGGTGCAAATGTGCGAAGAAGATGGAGAGAAAATGTGGAGCGAAAATATTTTTCTTCGCAGTTGCCAAAGCGAAAACGAAAGAAGTGAAACAAAACAAACAAGAAAATGAAAAAAAGATGATAATAATAATAAGAGGGAGCGAAAGTCAACTGAAATAAGTCACTTCAATAGAGAAGCAAGAGCAATTTTCAAATGGAAATATTGCCAAAGCGCCGATGGATTTACTTCAAAGTTACATTTTAGTTTCTGTGGAAACGAGGATGGAGAAACAACGTTTGAATTTTTCACCGAATTCGTATCGCGGAAAATCGATTATCGTCCCATTTAATAATTTAACTTTAACCTTTTCCTTCATAACAAAAAATCAATTGGTAACCTGCTCCTATAATTTATAAAAAGCCAAATTGCAGAGCTCTAAACGCACTTCATTTTAACATACGTTCGATAATACGTACATTGAGTATGAATTAACGTACAAATTTCCGTACGAACGTACAATGATATCGACCGTATTGTATAATTAACTTTTGTTCATGTCATGAAAAATTGAAATAAATAGACATTTCTCTACTTTAAAAATGTAAATAAACTTTCGCTATTGCTTAGATAATCGTATGATCTGTAAGAAAATGCCACTGGAAATATAATTGCTTGTGACTGCCCATTTATAGATGTTTTCCAGGACGTCATTAAAAAGGAATTTAAAACCGAAGTTAATCCTCCGGATAAAAATATTCGGGACAGAAGTTAACGACCGACCGGATTAAGTGTCTCTCGAAGCTTTTATCGAATTGTTAAAAGGGAGTAGATGCAACTATGCACATAAAGAAGGAACTAACGACCCTCATCCAAATGCAATTGTTTTTCCGTTGGAGGAGTGCGAAACGAACAAAGGGAGCGGACGTTGCAAAACGTATTTCCGCAGCTGTTTCCGGTGTTGTTTCAAAACGAGAAAAAAAAACATACAACCTCTTCATGCGAAGTTCAAGTATTCCGCATTTATAATTTTGAAACGGAAGAATCCATGAGTATTTCCTCAAGAAAGGGAACAGGTAGTTTGGGGGACAAGTGTTCGGTACCGTTAGGTTTGCTACCCCCTTTCTAATACCGGAATACCATTTTTCGCCCGAAACGCATTGTACTACAACTCTTATTGTTGGAATGCAGTTCTTGAAGAGAAATGGAACGAGTTGAAAAAGGATATACCAGAAGGGTGAGCGCCTCGCTTCGTTAATAGTTATTAATTGTCCGGAGGATCCCGCATCATTGAGCTTCTTCTTTATGTGCCCCATAAAACGGTCTTGTAAAACATCTTTCTTTACTAATTACCGTCCACTTTAACGACGAACGCGAAGATAAAACGATGAAGATCCACTAAACACAAATAGATAACTCAAGGTTATTAGTAATGCCCTTTTTCGGTGCATGTAAATCCGGGAAATAAAAATGTTGGAAATAAGCAGACGTGAAAACGCGGAACGAAATTAATTAATTAATGAAAGACCGTTAGCGACGCGGCTCTTTATTGCGGCAGGATATTAAAACGGTTAAGGAAATCTATCCGCAATACATGATACAAAAAAAAACGTTCACTCTAATCCATATTTTCCAATGCGGCCCCATGTCTCCTAACGGTTATTCAATTAAAATGGCAATAAATGAGTGTACTTGAAAGCAATAAATAAGTCAAAGAAAAATATGTGCGAAAATGGACCATTAGAAACTTTCCCAAAAATATAAAGTGGCAAAAACATAATTAAAATATATTTCGCAAAGAAGTGTCTACTTAACACATCGTAATTATCGTAATTTTCACTTCCTACAAATATCAAAATAATTAGAAACATTAGAATGGTCTTTTTCTAAAAATAAATTTTACAATTTATTGCATAAAATCCGAATATGTTACCAAGGAATAATTTTAAAGATTTTTTTATTAACTCATTTAAAGATCCGGTTCGAAATGTTGTTTTTGAATATTTCATTTTCATACATATATATTATGTACATTTTTGTTTAAGAATTTTTTGAAAAATATGGAATCAACAGCATAGTGAAAAATGTAAAACGGATAATATTAGTTTTTGTTGGAAATCAACTTAGGATTTACCAAAGAAAAGATCTGTTGTTGGAATGTAAATTACAAAGATCAGCTATGTTTGCCAACTATTGACTTAATGTGTTTAACTAACGATGAATCATACATCATGTCTGAACATGATTGACTATTAATTTGTCTTACATATTTCTATACAAAGAAATATTAAATATCAATTATTATTTATATTATAAATTGTTAAAATGAAAACTTAAATTTTGAATTTTACTTTGTGAATATTTTTAATAATCACAAACACTACAAGTTATATTACTGTCCAGGGCCCAATAAGACTTAATTGTTTTGCATAGACTCTTTAATAATTCAACTTAAGTATGTATACTCAGTTTATGCGATAATTGAATGACATATTTACTAATATATGAATATAAAAAATGAACACTAATTGAAAATATCTTAGATAAAATTAAATGCATTCCCAAAATATTCAACATTAATATTATCACATTATTAAATTGCCGACATATTTTACTAAGTTCTCGAGTTATTAAGTCAAATATAGATGAATTGCCTTTAGGCGATTAAAACTCAATTAATTAAAATTATCAATTAAATTACTGTAATATATCAAATATAGATTTTAAAATTATACATCTTTAATGTTTCAAAATTATAATTTATTGCAAACAAAAAAACGTGATATATATAAAAGATAAATTATAAAATATATCACAGACTCGCAAATTATTTCGTTTTAATAAGTAAATTAAGTTTCCAAGATACCTGACAAAGTATTTACTAAAATGATAAAGTTGTTTAACTTATAATTTACTAAAGATTTAAAGCAAATAATAATGGAATAGTTATTCTCGTAATTATTTCAAGATATTTCTAACATTTTTTTATTTATTTTTTTTATTGGTAACAACTTGAATTATTTAAATTATAATATTGTAAACTATATAACTTAAATAAGCTTATTTAATTTGGAATTTAGGTTTATGTAATGTAATAATAAATAGTAAATGCAGAATATTTCTTTTTTTCGAAAAAGCTTCACCGGTTGCATATATAGTACATTCATACAATATTCGTATAACATTTAGTAATTGAAAATGTTTTAGTAAACAGACGGCGGATCGGAACCGTGTCCGTCCAGATAAATAAAGGTGAGATTAAAGAGTTAGCGCACGTCCGTAAATATAAAATAGCTCATATCCCAATATAGTCGATTTATATTCACATGCAATCGCCGCGGAGGCTGGCGAAAATGATAATTGAACACGTGCGACTTCACTGAAAGATCGCCGCGACATTTCCGCCCAAGAAGTTCCAATTTTGGACAAATATATACAGGATGGTCCAAAAAAATATTTTTTTAAATTTCAAATCGAATATTTTCAATACAGTTTCTCATAAGATGGAATTTCGTCAATTTTAAATGTTTATTGTTAATAATCGTTTGTGGATTTGATGTAATAAAGTAATTTAGTTTTTTTTTAACTTAATCAAATATTCCAAAGAAAAAACTTTCATAGACTTAAAATACTAGTTTTGAAATTGACCACGTGACCAAACAAAATGGCGAATAATTTGAGTTACAAATATATATATTTTTGTCCACACTGTATATGCGTATATATTAGATACATAGTTGTATGTCTGGTATTTACCTGAGCAAGATAATTAGATGAACGTCGTGGGAGAGGCGATCCAATGCGGACGTTCCATCCACCCGCACGGCGTTGATTTTCTCGCGGAGCGTCGTCGACGTACCAACAGGTGGATGTCGTTCCTTCAAGATGTCAAATATGTTTGGTTGCCGTAGGAACGCCACTACTTTGTCATTGTAGGCTACAGGGACGTCCGAGCCGCTGCAAGAGGGCACAAAGGTTTGTCCGGCGGCCGCTGGTCTTGGAGGAGGAATCGGAGCCTACGAAATGCGAGAGAGCAATGAATATAGATAATATGTTAATAGAGCAATGAGTATAGATAAAGTGATAATATGTTAATAGGTTTTAGTGGGAAACTCACGTTGTCGAGGTCTGAAATGCGCCTGATATAGACCACGGGATCGGTGGTGGGTAGACGGGGATCCATGTAGGAGGTTTTCTTGTTCGTGTGGTCTATGAAGAATTGCTGCGCGGCGGGTTGTCACTTTGTTAGTAATGTTAAGTGTTCGTTTGTGGGTTTACGCTTACCTTCGCATTTCTATCCTTCTTCGTGTCCCAACCCTCCGGAAGGTCCATCGAGGTATCAGCAAACATGTTGACTAGAGCGACGAGCTCTTTGTTATGCTGGTACTTGTCGAAGGTGGTTGGATCGCGTCGGATGCGACCGATCATATGCTTCAGGCTTGGATTCCGGTTGTAAAGAGACGAAGCTTCCTGCAAAAGTTAACATTCATCACTAAATTGTTGAAATGGTAATCGTTGCAGATATATCATACCTGATTCATGTGCAAAGCCGTGAAGAAATCAGGGCGCGTTAATAACTTCAGTCCCGGAGGCGAGGCTTCGCTTCCATCTTCGATACGTTGCGAACTTATGGTTCTCCTAATGCTTTGGTATCTCCTATCCAGCTGTCTGCGCTGCTGCTCCGCTCCGGTGATTGCGACACCAGCTGCGAGGCCGCTTCCTCCGGGTTTCTGCCAAGAGGTGGTGCGCGTCGCGTGGTCTATGTAAAAGACTCTACCGTGGCTATCCATCCTTGCTTCCCATGCTAAAAATGAAATTGTTTTTGAGTAAATGATAGTTTAAAGGACAATTGATGCCACTTACATGGAGGTAAGGGATCTTCGTGAGGTTCCATTGGCACCTCAGCCACGCTTAACACTTTATGTTTGCGTTCCGGTATGGATGGTAACCTGGTGGTGGCCAAATGCCTGAGAGGAAAGGCCATCCCACTGGCCTCGCCATCCTCGCAGTTCTGGTTCGTCCTATCCAGATGCACCTCGGTTAAGGCGCGCAAACTGAATCTTGGATTGGCAAACGGGTCATCTCCGACGGCTTCCGATTGCTGCGAGCAAGCGGTGGCCCCGCAGGCGCTTGTTTCCATTCCTAGATCGGATTTCAAGCCGGGCGGCTTCAGCTCCTGGTTCACTTTAAGTCTTCGATGATGCGTCGGCGTTGGCGGACAAACGGGAGCGGAGGCGGATGCTGAACCGGAAGCGGCCACTCCGGAAATACGCGCAAGAATCTTATTGTGCGGTTTCGCGTGGAGCGGCGTCAGCTTACAGTCCTCCTCCGATTGCCTGCTCAACTTCTTGTGTGGTTTGAGCGCCAGCTCTGCCGAAGGCTCTATCACTTCCACGCTACTGGTGGAGCTGGTGCTCTCCAAGCTGAGGCTGCTCTTGGTGCTAATGTAGTTGTCATTACCGATCACTATTCTATTATCATACTGAGGTGGTTCATCCGTGTCGATCAGATCGAAGCTGAAGGTGTCTTCAGGATTCTGAACTGGTTTCGGCTTGTTCTGTCTGAGTACTGGAGGCAAAGCGTTGGAACGCTCCAGCGGCCTGTGCAAACTCCTGGGTGGTAACGGAGGTGCTTTGTACTCCTCCTCCGGACTACTGCTGCTGCTAGCCGTCCAGATTTGGAAGTAATCCTTGCTGGGCGACTTGGCGGAACGGATTTTCTTCTTGGTGCCGCTCGCACTCTCCGACCTCGTCAACCCCGAGGAGGGCTTCTTCTTGGCGCCACCTCCAGCGCCGCAGACTCCGCCCGCGCTTAAATCTTCCAACGAATTTGAGCACTTGAGCAGCCTCGTGTGGTGGTCCTCGTCCTGGAAGGCATCGTTCTCGATGCCGCCGCCAGATTTCGCCTTGAACTTAATGAACTTCCGGAACTTGTCCGGCGGATCCTTGATGATCAGCGGTTGCGTTTGACCGACGTAATCCAAACTGCTCTGCCTGTAGTACCGGAAGCACAGCTGTTTACCGCCTCCTCCTGATCTACCTACTCTTCCACCGCCGCAATCTGCTGGATGGAATTGATAATTATCGAAGGATTGAATAATGGCTGAACGTTCGAGGGTTCCGACCGCACGCGCTTACCGTTATGGATCTGGGGGAAGTCTAGTAGCCACATAATCGACGACTCATTTGTTGTTATTTCCTGGCGTCCTAGTAACTCGTCCACGCAGCCGTCTGAAAGCCAAAAACATATATATATTAAGATTAGCGAGTTCCATCGGTTGCATATCCAACGAACAAGTATAACTGAATTAATCCCATCATCCAATTCTACACATTTTTCAAACCATTTTTCAATTCAAAATACAATCATTTATTTAACAAAACAAGTAAACATTGAAATGTTTTTTTTAGAAATAAAAAATAGCAGTAGACGAAAACCAAACATTGCATATCCAAGATTTAGAGAGATCAAATAAAATAAGGTATGCCACTAGGTAGAACATTAAACTGTTAAAATCACGTTCGGGCTAAAAACAAACACAACTAGTAATAAAATCCAGGTTACCGAAAACAAAATCTGCTCAAGATCACAAAGTATTAAACAGTATGACATTCAGACAGCAATTTACAGATTCCAACGAAAGTTCTGAAGTGTAAAATATTTATACTCAATAAAAAAAATCTTCGCAAGGATTTTTATTCTAAAATTAAATAAAGGAACCAATATAGAATGGAACAACAAATAATTGCTTAATATTCGTTAATATCATGAAAATAAGCAACAGTTGTAAACACTTATTCATTTATCAATAATATTGTTATTTATGGTCATTTTTCTATGAACAAAAAGTATTTCTAAATTTATAAAACAGAATATATTTGAATGTATGCTTGTTATTGTTATTTATTATAATTATTCAATAAAACAAAAACTTTCTAAATTACCTATCACAATAAATTTTAAATGAAATTAGAAATTAACAGGATCCACATCTTAATTGAATCTAATTTTATTGTTTCCATCCTTAATGTTTTAATTTATGGTAATTAATCAATAAAACACATAAAATTGATTAACTCTCTATTTTTTTTTAAATTAACATTAATTTAATTGATCGTTGATATTTAAAAGTTGAACAGCAAACTGTTGAGTCGTTGGCGAGCAAAGCGCAACCAATACGAATAAAGAGTATCTGCTTTCATCTCGTTAAGTATACATAATAGTTATTTCGTTACGTGCGTACTGTAATTACAGCGAGTGTGAAATTCGAATCGCTTTCTTGGCTTCTTGAATTACAGGAACCGAATTGAAGCGACGTTAATGGCAGCAACAGCAGAAGAAACGGCGCTTGTTTTATTTCAAACAAATCCTTCCGTTTTTTTGCCGTTCCTTTGCTGCACAGGCCTCTCTTTTGTTTGTTGGGCATCATTGAAATCGGTTTTCGGAAACGGGGCAATATTTTTTTTAACAACTTCCGTTACACATTGTGCGTCCGGATATAGGAGACAGAGAGAAGGAAGAGTGTGTGAGTAAGCGAGAGAGAGAGAGAGAAAGAGGTAGAGGGATGTTTGCGAGCGGTTCGTTCCGGTAAAAATAAAACCAGCTGGACTATACCTGACGTCCTTCTTCCTTCCGGTGCTTGCGGCTATATTTAAATACCATTCATTCATCTTTCTCTCTTCTTCTTTCTCTCGGCTCACGCACGCCCATGCGGGGATCGCCTTAGGAGAAGAATGAAAAACGAAGATAAGCTCGTCGTTGTGTGTAAGATTTGTTCAGGTGCACAAGATTTCGGTCCAGGATTTCGTTTTGTTTGTGTTTGCCTATTTACTTGTCACCTGCAAATGCCTACTACGACTAATACTACTACTCTACATACTCTTAGATTCGAGGTGCGCATGCATATATTGTTTTCTGGCCACGTCGCTCGGCTCGGCGTAAGTGGATTAACTGGCCGGAAATGCGAAACCCGAACCTATATCAAGTGCATGCATGAGGCCGCACAGCTCTCTCTCACTCGCCATTTAAGAGCTAAGTGTAACGGAAATGAGATTACTGTGTGCGTGTGTATGTACGTATGTATACGTACGCGTATGTCGGAGCACTTGTGTGCGACTTTATCAGTGGGTTGCGTAACGAGCGCGCGAGCTCCGAAAATATCAATTTCCGACTGATGTTTACCACTAAACAACAACAAGCAACAACAAAAAAACAAATTTGGATTACTCATTGCTATTTCATTTCCACTAGACGCATATTAAAAATCCATATTTTTTATCTACAATCATTGAAATCCGGAAGATCAGATTAGCCCAATACATTACAAACTACTGATCTTCATCCATTAGTCCATCTCAATGCTGCTTTTATTTAATACTTAGTTAAAATATCACATGTGTATACAGCATTATATTTAGAGACTGTGAAAATAATCGTTGGTAATAATCCTATTGAACTTAACACTAGACTTAGGAAAGAAATTAACGGATTTCATAAATATTTTTAATTTCTATAATATTGAAAAATTTCATTGAATAAAACCCAATTTATAAAATAAATTAATGTTATTCGAATTACAATGAAAACTCGTCACATCTGCAAAACTTACAAGTACAACATCCAACTTTGCATAGAACGAGTATAAAATTATTGAATGATCATCGAAAATCTCATTAATTCTAATTATAAATTAAATAGCCGTTAGCATTTACCGATTTAAATCTTCTAAACTATTGATTTCCGTTTGATGTTTCTTCAAATTAATTTAGAAGGATTATATTTAGGGTTGGCAATAATGCTTCAAAATGTTGATATCTATATTTTCCCTATTTCAGTTAAGGTTGTAATAATACTTCTAAACTATTCATTTTCGATTGATATTTCGATAGATATAATATACTTTTAAGAATATCAATGTAGAAACAGAAACACTTTTTATTTGTTGACAGTTAAATTTCGATGTTATAACACCAGTCTGTACACTAGACAGATATTTATGTTTCAATTCACGTATAGCATGTACGCAGTTCTTTAAATCTATAAACTTTATAAGTCAACTAAATCAACTTACTTCAAAATATTGGTACCAATATTTCCTTCTAAATGTTAACATACATATATTCACTATTTCGATTAAGGTAATAACTTATAAGAACGTCAAATGACAATTTCCAAATAATACTTTTATCGTTAATGTTATAATACTATTTGATATACCTGTATATATAGAGCATAATAAAAGCATTGCAGTTAAGACTACTTAGATCTGCAAATCTTACAACATACAACTTTGCATTGAGTATTATATTACAGATTGTGATATTATATAATATCGTCCATACGACGTGTCCATCAATTTGCGATTGATGTTTACAACAAGAAGAAAAAAAACGATTCCCAAACTGCTTCATCTGAATACCATCCCACACGACTTTCTTTCCTTCTTACCAATTGAAATTTATTCCAATTAGTTTAGGGAATTATCGCCGAGGCGCGACCACGGATCAACTCCAACAAGTCCCTTCTTTCTGTACTTATTTCTTTTTTCTTAAGTTCATCTCTTCGTTACTTCTTCTTCAATCATTCGTACATTTAGCTGCGCTCCGCCCACGCCCCCATTATTTCGATATTTTCACTTAAATTCTCTCTCTGAGAATGGAACGAGCTGCGTAGGCCATGTGGAACATATTCTCTCTTTAACTCGAATCAACCATACACCCGACTCGCCAATGGATTCCTACACACACACTTAATTCGAAACAAACAACGCACTTGCTACTCTCACTCAAAGTATTAATCTGCAAAATACGCATTTTCTAAAAAAAAAAATACAAAAACAATAACCAAACAACTTCATATTCCAAAGGCCATTAGGAATTTAGTTATTAATAGGATCACAAAGATAATAACTGCATTATTTTTGTTCGATAATGCTAATGGCCTTTATTGTTATATAAATAACTATCGTTAATAGTGCGATATGGACATACGTCATTACCATGGTGATCATCAGTTATAACTAATCAATAACAAGGGATTACTGATAGTGCGACATTGTCCATATGATCACCATGGTGACCATCATCGTGCTCCGTCGGTTGACATTTTACGGACTCCTGGCTCGATTGAAATAATTTTAATTGTCCTGAATGTAGTTTAATCAACGCGACAGGAAACCATGTGGGAAGGAATCGCAATGTTAACTCGCTCACTCTTTCTTTCTCGCTGTTACACACACACAAAGCGCTCGATTTATTTTCGAGCTCAAATTAAAATCGAATTAACGGTGGCAAAGTTCAAAATTTTCACACCATTTGTATTTTTTTTTCTTCTTCTGTCTCTTTCATTAACAATGTCCTTTTACTAATTACATTTTTTGCATACATGAAATTCAGAAATTTTTGTAGATTCGATTTAAATTTTTCACTTTAATTTCATTCCATTAGACGCTCAAATTAAGTTGTAAATCAAATGTAAATATTTTCAATATTCGATCATCATAACTTGTTTTTTTTAATTAAATGTAATTTGATTAATTTAGTAAACAATTATTGCTACTTTCATATTAATTACGATTTTTAATTAATTAATTAAATTGTATAATTTTAAACGCCAACCGTAAATATAATGTGTTACACGTGAATCTTCATAAAAATAATTCCCCTGAAGGTAGTATAGTAAGTAAATGTGGTGACGTAATAGTATTTAAGTTGGTGCACGTGGTAGCTCAGAGTGCAATTACAGCTGTCAGTTCATTAAGCTAATTGGCACAACTGATTTGCATGTTGCAAATCGCGCATAGTATGGATGCAGCATTATATTTAGGGACAGTAAAAGTTTATGTTAGAAATAACGTTTCCAAATATTTTGCAACTAATCTGGAGCGTCGATGATGCCAGCCAGCCAACATCGTAATTCGAGAGATTGCATAACAGCGTAATTTGCGTTCGGGATGCGACAGAGAGTATTATTATATTATGAGAGGCACACGCACACACATCTCGAGCGTTGTTGCATAAGAGAGCAGCAGTTCCCATCGGAGGATATAGTTTTCGGAGATCTTGGGAAATCGAAACCCACCCAGAGGTGACCAAAAACTGTTGTTAATTCGGAACAGCTGATCGAATGAACATAATCAATATTGAGGAACGTGGGACGCGGTGTCACCAAAATGATGGCATTTTTCTATTCCTCTTGAATAAAAAAAAAATCTGTTTCCAAAGACTGTAAA